TTAAGACGTGAGATGATAAACCAGTAATATAGCTTATTTTCATCCTACCGTAGAAGGACAACACTGGACAGCTGTTTTGTGCTATTTGGCAGCTCATCAGCATGGTGTCTAAAGTAGGACAAGGCTGAATGAGTATCCTCTATCCAGATTATACAGTTTATCGAACTAAGGCAGCACAAAGTGCCATCTCTTACCAGAATCTACCACAAAACCGGAAACAGCAAATTGTCTGTTAGAATGGTACTTCAGCTATGTTCCTCGGTGTTTTTAAAGATGAATATTCAGATAGTTTGTGCCATATTGTGCATCGCTGAAAGACATGGTATAGAAAATTTTTCAAAATTTTATTGATTGATTTTTGATATTTATGAAACTAAGCGGGAGGCTCACATGTAATAGTGATGTATTATTAATATTGGGGTAGTGGCAAATAATCAAAAATAGTGTACTAGTAGCACAAATCTATTGCATTCGGTTTTTATTGCAGAGATAAGTCCAGTTCAGCTACTAGAAAAGGTATTATACAGGGTGTTTCAGTTTATTGTTGCATAACTTTAAGATTCGATAGAACTTTTAAAATTAATGCATAAAGTCTATATAAACATGGGTCGAAAAATGCGTGGCTTCCGAAATACAGGGTGTATAAATTTACTTTCTAAAATAGTTTTTTTTAAATATTTCGAACAATATTTGATGCATAACAGTGAAAAATGGTATACAAGGGTTTTTTGGTACGGCAAAAGGAACCATGAGCATAGTTTTACTGTAGCCGCTAGAGGGCGCTCTCTACTGTACCTGTAGTGTATTAAGATGACCGAAAAATTTTTGTTAGTGCAATTTTTTGCTTTTTGAATAAAAACACTGATTCTTCGCACCTTTCAACATAAAAAAGCAATCCTGTGAGTTTTCGTTATAGTTTGCCGTTTTTGAGATATTTCGATTTTTAAGGTTCGATGCATTTTTAATTATTTATGGGAAAATAATATTTTTTTTACATTTTCGATTTGGGCATTACAAGTAATTAAGATGATCGTTTAGATTGTGTTTTTAAACACAGCAATAAATCCTAACTCCAAATAAACACAAAAAAACAGAATATTAATTTGTTTAATTTTCCAATATTATTTTTAACAAATTAAATTAATTATTTACAACTAAAATGCTATTGAACAGTTAGGACAAACATACAAAATCTAAAGTAATTGCTCGAAATGTAAACCCAATTGTTCAATACACAATTCACATCTACCAATGATCGAACGTGGTATAGCATTATTCAAATAAGGCCTTATTTCATCACATGTATTCCTGATTCTGTCTATTAGCATATCTCTTGTGGTTACGGGAGTCTGGTACGCTTTTTCTTTTAGGAATCCCCACACAAAGATGGATTTAGGTCAGGGGATCGTGGAGGCCAGGCGGCTGGTCCTCCACGGCCGATCCATCTTTCTGGATAATTTTCGTCCAGCCAGTTTCTAACTATTCTCGAATAATGAGCTGGACGACCATCAAGCTGGAACCAGGCCAATCTTCTTAAATCTAACATAACATCATCCCACATATTTGCATGTTCAGCCTTTAAAAATTCCAAGAAGGTCGCAGCATTTAACCTTGCAGGCGAAAGGTAGTGTCCAAATAGTCGATTACACAATTCTTCACAATTGCAAAAAGACGTTTCAGGTTTCAACAGACAACAAAACTAACTGTCAACTGATTGACGTTTAACCTTATTCTGCTTTCAATTTCAAAAATATTTGCAGGCAAAGCCTACTTCTAAAATTTATCGAGATACTGACTTTTTAACGTTATTTTATCATAAATAATTAAAAATGCATCGAACCTTAAGAATCGAAATATCTCGAAATCGGCTAACTAAACGAAAATTCACAAGACAGCTTTTTTATGTTGAAAAGTGCGAAGAATCAGTTTTTTTATCCAAAAAGCAAAAAATTGCACTAAGCAATATTTTTCGGTCATTTTAATACACTACAGGTACAGTAGAGAGCGCTCTCTAACGGCTACAGTAAAACTATGCCCACGGTTCGTTTTATCGTACCAAAAAACCCTTGTATACCAATTTTCACTGTTCTACATCAAATATTGTTCGAAATATTTTAAAAAAACTATTTTGAAAAGTAAATTTAAACACCCTGTATTTCGGATGCCACGCATTTTTCGACCTATGTTTATATAGACTTTATGCATTAATTTTAAAAGTTCTATCGAATCTCAAAGTTAAGCAACAATAAACTGAAACACCCTGTATATGCCTTATGTGCCTCTCATTGACCTGATTTTCAGGTACACTGGCTATCTGCTCTCAAGTTTTATTACATTTTTAGATATGACCCGACTTTCTGGCTTACTTACTTTTCTATATTCTATACATATGGTTGTTACGAGCATATTTTTTGTGACGAAAGGCTAATAAGTCGTTCTTTTCCTTGTACATTCACATACAAGCCAAAAAGCTAAAAAGCAGAATCAGCAAGGAAATAATCAAACACCAAATGAAAACTAATGTGAATGGTTATGGCTCTTGTAATCCTGAACACAGTCATGAATGGAATTTTATACAATGTAATGACAGAACAGCAACTGGTATTGTGAAAAATCCGGCGTTTTCTCTGATAAGCTGCAGGAGCTGTTCAATTTATGCCTGTGCAAGTCATTGTATTTTCTGCCAAATGTATCTCCTATCACCTTGAGGGCTACCGAAGTCGTTGCCATTTCTTCCAACTTAATCAAAATATGCGGTGCTCTTGATGAAGTGATACTTCAAATATGTTCTGTGGACTTCAATGTTTTGTATTCGCTTTGCCCGGCCTAAAAACTATGTAAATGTCGTGTTAAAGTGATGACAGATAATTTCAAAATTGATGAACAAGCAAGGAAAAATGGAAGGAAAGAATGAAAATATAACTTACGAGTATAAAGCAACTTCTGTTCAATGTCTGAATTACCAGAGGTTCTTTTTCATGTTACAGAATGTCAAAATTTTGCTTAAACCTCTACCACATAATTTTTAATAGTTTTTAATTTTAAATCCGAAAGCTGACCACTCACAAGCGCAGTGAGATGTATCGAAACGCCTGTCACATGTCAAATACCCTCTGAAAAGCATTCAAGGTCATCTCTCAGCGGCACACAGCATCCAAGCGCTCTTTGATTTCGCTACGCGACTTACCTTCCAAAAATGGGAATCGACCAATATCGCCTTTTGTCCATTTTTCGAAAATCCGCCGACACGCCCGCTTCCACGCGCAGTCAAAACAAAACTGTCTGATTTGGCTCGAATTTTGATAGAAGCTGTGTTCGGGGATGTACTACACGATAGCAGATTTCTCTCACGATAGGGGCGCTATTGGGCGGTGAGGCTGAGAACTTTTCGGACCGCCCTTGTATAGGGTGTCCCTCAATGATATGCGAATATTTAGTAAAAAAATGGAAATTAATTAATATTTTCAGAACCGCTTAAAATATTTTCAGATATTTAGTACGTAGTGAAAGTTAATAAAGTTGCATATTTTTCGATGCGAAAATAATTTTTAGCTTTAACAGTAGCGTGCGTACGAGTATTGACTAAGATATTTTTTTAGAAAAAAATGGTACGCCAATGGTTTTTTGCCAAATAAAAATCATTTTTTAATTCCCCGTTCAATTTAAAGCAAATGATCTCTCTCGAATTGTTGAAAAGTTGAAACCGTTCTATTGTCTAACTTGAAAAATTATTATTAATTTAATTGGAAAAATTGAACACATAATTGGTAATGAGCAACAACAACTGACAACATAAATATAGCACAAGCTTAGTATGCATGCTTCCGCCCTCCTTCTCATGGAATTGCGCACTCCGTGAAATATCCCTGGAGTGTTTTTTATTTACAAGCTGTAACAATTCTTTCTCTTAATTCCTCTACAGTGTTCATGGGACTTGTGTACCCTACTGACTTAAGATAGCCTTACAAAAAGAGATCTAAGCTGCTGAGGTCTGGGGACCTTGGTGGCCAGTCTTGGGACCCACCGCGGTCAATCCAACGATAAGCAGTTTGTAAATAATTACGAACCGCTACACAGTGTGTTCCTTTATAGGGATCAGGCACAAAATTCGATATCTTAAAAACTAGTGGTCCTATTTGAATTCTGTAAACGCAGGGCGATTACTTATTTAAGTAGCTTTCTAAAGTATTACAAAAATTATTTAAAATAATAAGAAGGGGTGGGGGAGCAGGCGGGATGCATTTCGCGTAAATCGTTTTTTTTTCTGTAAAAGTCAAAATATTAAGTTGTGATCTCGAATAAATTGGGATAAGGTAGGATATTATTATAGCATACTTAAGAGAGACAAAAAAGTCACGCTTTTATTTTTCAAGATCTTTACCGAATGATTTAAAAGATAATGTAGCCAACTTGTGGCGGGCGCAATATGATTTATTAAATTTGTCTATCTATTTGAAAAAATAATAAGAATAATTCAAATAAAAAATAAATCTGTATAATTTGAAATTGATATTTAGGTTTTTATTTATAAAAATATATTTAACAAAATAACAATTACTTAGTAGGGAATGTACGAAATAATAATATAAACTATATTAAAAAAATAACACCAAACATACCCATTCTAATCGGAATAGTATTTCTTGCTTGGTGCTGTGTCATTCGTTATTGTACCTAAGTCAATACCTAAATCATCATTTTCTTGCTTTTTTAAATAATTCTGAACTGCTTCGTTGCATTTCTTATATTTTTTTGAGCTCACCTTTGTTTTTGAGGATATAAAAGGATCAGAAGAAAGTAAAAGAACACGCATGAGATCCTTATTCGTATTATCTGTTCTTGAACACTTTCTGGTGTGAGATAATCGATGTTTCCTAACCTCTTTATGGCGAGCCTCAAGCGCATCATCCGACAGTTCTCCAATGGGCAAACAAAATGCATCAATTATCTCACACCCATGAACAAGGACCATATGTACCGTGTTTGGCATGTTCTACCACCTATAAAGGTGGATTTCTTGCTTCTTCCAGCAATGACGCAAACTTTACCATATCAATAGCGCAACCACTAGCTAACACTCCTAAGATGATCACAAATTTCTCGATTAATTCCCTGTCAACCCCTGTGATATCTAAACTTCTTTGTGGATTGTGGAAAAAAATTCTGGCCGTATTGCCATCATTTGAGGAGCCATACCCGGGTTTTGGTTTGTCAACTATTAGAGACAGCTTGGCTCTGAACTCTGCTTGGATTCGTTTTTTGTTTGCTTCGACTATAGCTTTGTTTTCCGGCCAACGAACCTGCCAAGATTTAATTGGCAGGCGGTATCCAATATGGAGTAAGCGTTCAAAAAAACGAATCCAGGGTGTAAAGTTGACAAACCAAACCGGTAATTGTCTACGTTAGGAGGAGGACGGTTAATCCTTGCTAACGTGTTCATGTCCTTGGGTGTGGCTCCGCAAATGATGCACTTCATAGTTGAATTTGTCTCTGATAGAACGTTTCCAACACTGCCGTCCAACATTGTTAACATCATATCAACTTCAATTATATAAGAGTGCCCTTCTTTTGTTTTAATCTCAATAGGAATCAAATTTTCAATTTTTGTTATTATTTCCTTTTCCGTATTCCGCACTAAATCAGCATTTTCCTTTTTAAATAACAACTTGATCGGCCTACAATATATACGTAAAGTAGATGAAGGGCTCTCATTTTTCCACAATACCTTATTCGTTTCCATATCAATCAATCTGAGTGACGTCATTGCTACAGGAAACAGAAATTTGTCGGTGTTTTCTAAATCAGAAAATTTCTGCTTATATTGGCTATGCCCAGAACTGCCATCAAATCCCCACTTGCATATCACTTTAATCCGGCAATCTCTCTCTTCAAAATTTATTATTTCAAGGATACTTTCAGCTGTTTTCTGTAGAAGTTCTTGCAAATCAACTTATGCAGAAATTTCAGTAATAATAAATTGTGAAGGGAGGATAACATTTTTTGTTTTCTGTAATTCTTTATAACTAGGAAGGCAGTTCTGGGCCTTACCATTAATAACAGACCTAAGTAGCAAATACATTCTTACGGATATATCCAAATCTACCATAAGGGCTAAAGCTTCAGCTGTACTAAAACTAAAAATTTGTAGCGAGACCTCACTGTGATTGCTTCCAGAAACGACATTTACAGCAAATTGAAGTTCATTTGCAGATCTGTCTATGGTTAGTTCGGCTACACGTCTTCGTTTTGTTTTCTTCGATGCCTCTTCAAATGGCACCCGTGGCCTTCCAACTGAGCGACAAGGAGGTTCTTGTTCCTCATCTGAAGATGTGTTTTCTTCAGAATCATTATTTATTCTATATATAATCTTGTCTAACCAATATACCGGATTTTGTAAAAGTCCATTCCGAGATTGTCCTACTTTCTGCCATTTATTTGCCATTTTCAACCCAAACAACTGGCTGCATTTCATAATATTACTTTTAAGATGTTTGGAAGGTTCATCTGTTATATCAATAAGAGATCATATCTTTTCATAAACCACCTATTTCCTCTCGGTGCTTCTATCCACACATCAATCAAATCTCTATTTCTGACAATAGCACCATGTCCTAAAAAAAATTATATCTCCCTTAGACGTGGCATGACGTGATTTAATCTTTTTATCAGAACTTACTATGGACAGATAAACAATAAATACAAAAAAATTTAGGGTGATGGGCGGTGATTTTTGTAAAACTCTAAACAAAGTCAAAAGTTTAAAAAAAATTAAAAAAATCGGTAATAGTCACTTTAACTTAAAAAGATTATCTAATTATAATTATATTTTAAATAAATCTATACATCAATGTAATGTACTTACCAGCCTCATTACCAGCCATATTGGAAAAGTTAAAATATTTAAATATTTCGACACAAAATTTATATCTTTCCCGAGTAATAAAACAGAGAGGTTTTTCGCCTTCTTGACAGGTCTCCACATGTCTAACTTTAACGTTGCTAAAATAGGTAAATCGCAGCCAACTTGATTAAAGTACTATACTTCCGTGTTGCAGTGACTATTTATCTATCCAATGGTATAATAACAGCAACAGAATTCTAATGTCAAAAATTATGTTTTTGAGTAATTTTGTCCATTGGGCGCCACACTGTGCGCTACACCGGAATCCGCTGGTGCATCATCATGCATGTACCACGTATTGTTTCTTATTACTAACGGAACATCAAAGCAACAAATTCAATTATTGTTGAAGAAAATTGAGGTAAATCTGTCCGTCAAGTCGTCCCGGCAAGAAGAATGGCCCAATAAAGTGGTTGCCAATAATTCCTGCCCATATGTTAACCGAAAATTGGTGTTGGAAATGGGTTTCGATTGCAGCATAGGGATTCTCTTCTGCCCACAAATGATTATGATTGGCATTTCGAGAAAAATTAGCTTCGTGCATGAACAGAATCATTGACTCAAATTGTAGAATTTTTGTAATTTTTTTAAGATAACACTGACAAAAGGTTACACGCCTTGGAAAATCAATGGGAAATAAAGCCTGTACTCTTAAAATGTGGTAAGGATATAACAAAAAATACAATAAAATTCTCCAAACAAAAAAAAATCTGAAAATATTAATTAATTTCCATTTTTTTCCTAAAACTTCAACACCCCGAGTTTTTGTTAAGACACATTTTTGGACCATAGTTTATAAAGCAAACTAACATTAATTTTTCATTTAGATTCACACCCTTGAATATTCGCATTTCATTAAGGAACACCCTGTATAACGACCCCGCTGCAAAAAAATGAAATATCTGCCGTGGGTTCCCAAAGTTGCTCCATCGGACGATCTCCCGTGTCCTCAGATGTATTCATGTCTCCTGAGCTGCTTTCCTGTGGTAGTTGGTTTGACAGTGATACGCTCCCGAACTGCTCCAGAAACAGTGCATGATAATACAAAGGTACTGGAGATAAGTACTACTGAGGTGCTCCGAGTTACTCAGTGCAACTGGAAAGCAGCGCTCATGCTTGTAGTCCTTACTAGCTTCGAGTCATCCAAACGCGTCACCCCAAAACGTCAAAAAATGATTTCTGATGACCCTTCATCGAAGAAGTGCGCTTTGAAATCGAAGATCACACCACTGCGCAGATCCGTTTCGACGACTAGCATCGGAGGGTTGTTCACCGCCCATTTAAATTTACGTGACACCAGATCGTACGCGGGGGGTATGGATGACACCAGAAGCACCAATTCTGACGATGAGGGAGTGGAACTAGATAAGAACGTCACCGAAGAGCGGAACCGGTGCCCGGAAGGGAAAGATGAAGTGGAAACGAGGGACGCGGTCACCAATAAAGTGTTTCTAGTAAAAAAGGAGGATTTGCAGCAACATACGCTCAATGAGGTGAGGCTCAATTAAATCAGTGGTTTTGTTTGCAGACTAATCGATAACCATGGAAATGTGAGATTGTCCAGAAAAAAATCTAAATTATGGAACTAAGACAGATTGCTTGTTGTACTACAACTGAACTTGGGGTACGACCATACGTTAGCGCATATCGCAAATATTCCATTTCTTATTTTAAAATGAAAGATTATGATGTAGACTTTATGAAAATATCATTTTTTCTTCGAGAAACCCTCGGCTAGCTATTTTATGGAACTTCAAAGTTGCATTTTTGGTGGTAATATTCTAGAGTAGAATACTGCTTTATACGCTGCTTTTTTTGGCTTTTTGCACAAAAGGATGCTCTAAGTTTTTAGAATATAACATACGATCGATAGTACTAAGGAAAATAGATGTAACATTGTAAAAAGTCGTTGGTTTTTCAAAGAAAAAGGTTAAAATCTAGCTAGATCATAAGCTAAAATGACAATTCCCAATACATAACTTAAATTAATGATGGTTTCGGTGGGACTATACTTCAGCGTATAAAGGCCGAAATTCTTGTTTTTTTTTTATTGGAAAAAAAGTTAAAAAAAAACAGTTAAAATGATTATTTCTTTTGGAAAATGGATGGGAAACTATAAAAATTCGTTGTTTTTTTGGAAAAAAAAGGTTCAAAGCTGGTCGTGTGGTAAGTAATAACAGTTGAAGATACATACGTAAATAATGATATTTACATGGAAAACTATGTTTTTACAAAAGGTAAATAGATTATAACTATAATATAGGAAAAATAATAAATGAAGTATTTTTGGGAAAATTTATTATATTGCATTGTTCAGAATAGTGTCTTTGGCTAACGCTATCATAGGGAATGAGGTAAATTTAGTACAGCAAAACCTGCCAGCCACATCTCCAAATTGCATTTTCATGGCAATCCTGTGCAGATTGCGCATTTTTGCGCTAGTATACAGGGTGTTTCAGTTTATTGTTACATAACTTTAAGACTCGATAGAACCTTTAAAATTAATGCATAAAGTCTATATAAACATGGGTCGAAAAATGCGTGGCTTCCGAAATACAGGGTGTTTAAATTTACTTTCTAAAATAGTTTTTTTTAAATATTTCGAATAATATTTGATGTATAACAGTGAAAATTGGTATACAAGGGTTTTTTGGTACGACAAAACCATGGGCATAGTTTTACTGTAGCCGCTAGAGGGCGCTCTCTACTGTACCTGTAATGTATTGAAATGACCGAAAAATTTTTCTTAGTACAATTTTTTGCTTTTTGAATAACAAAATATGATTCTTCGCACTTTTCAACATAAAAAAGCTTTCTTGTGAATTTTCGTTAGCCGTTTTGAGATATTTCGATTTTTAGGGTTCGATGCATTTTTAATTATTTATGATAAAATAACGTTAAAAAGTCAGTATCTCGATAATTTTTAGAAGTAGGCTGTGCTTGCAAATATTTTTGAAATCGAAAGCAGAATAAGGTTAAACGTCAATTAGTTGACAGTTAGTTTTGTTGTCTGTTGAAACCTGAAACGTTTTTTGCAATTGTGTGTTTTTTTTTTGTTTTATAAAAATGCTATTTTTATTCTCTAATCAAGAGTTAGCGGATACTCATTTTGTGTATGGCTTTGTAAATGGAAACGCAGCGGAAGCAGAAAGAGAATACGCACGAAGATTTCAAAACAGACGACATCCAACTCGCTCAGTATTTGTAAGAGCGCATCGCCAAATAATTAATATTATTAATAAAATAAAATCTTCGTCAGCCCAGTTTTACCCGTATGATTCTGCGTGAGCTTGATAGAGATCCGACCACAAGTGTTAGGTGCCTTGGGAATTTCAGCAAGCCATGTTCACCGTGTTCTTAGAAATGACCATAGGCGTCCTTACCATTTGCAACCTGTGCAAGGACTACAGCCAGGGGACGGAGAACGAAGAATCACATTTTGTTAGTGGATTCTTGATAGAACTGATAATAATAGGGAGTTTTTAAGTACCTAACGTTTTACGGACCGATGAGTCATGCTTCACTAGACGTGGAGTGGTAAATTTTCATAATCAATATATTTGGTCGCATGAAAATCCGCGGTTCGGGAAAGAAATTTTCAGCATGAATTTAGTGTGAACGTGTGGATTGGTATCTACCGTAGTCGACTATTTGGGCCCTACCTTTTGCCTGCAAGGTTAAATGCTGGGACCTTCTTGGAATATTGAAAGGCTGAACATGCAAATATGTGGGATGATGTTATGTTAGATTTAAGAAAATTGGCCTGGACCAGTCGCCTGGCCTCCACGATCCCCTGACCTAATTCCATTTAATTTCTTTGTGTGGGGATTTCTAAAAGAAAAAGTGTACCAGACTCCCGTAACCACAAGAGATATGCTAATAGACAGAATCAGGAATGCATGTGTTGAAATAAGGCCTTATTTGAATAATGCTATACCACATTCGATCATTCGTAGATGTGAATTGTGTATTGAACAATTGGGTTTACATTTCGAGCAACTACTTTTGATTTTGTATGTTTGTCCTAACTATCCAATAGCATCCAATATTCAATTAATTTGTTAAAAATATTATTGGAAAATTAAACAAATTAATATTCTGTTTTTTTTGTGTTTATTTGGAGTTAGGAATTATTGCTGTGTTTAAAAAACAATCTAGACGATCATCTTAATTACTCGTGATGCCCAAATCGAAAATGTTTATAAAAATATTATTTTCCCATAAATAATTAAAAATGTATCGAACTTTAGAAATCGAAATATCTCAAAAACGGCTAACTATAACGAAAATTCACAAGAGAGCTTTTTTATGTTCAAAGGTGCGAAGAATCAGTTTTTTTATTCAAAAATCAAAAAACTGCACTAAGAAAAATATTTCGATGATTTCAATACACTACAGGTACAGTAGAGAGCGCCCTCTAGCGGCTACAGTAAAACTATGCCCATGGTTCATTTTGTCGTACCAAAAAAACCCTCGTATACCAATTGTCACTGTTATACATCAAATATTGTTCGAAATATTTAAAAAAAAAACTATTTTTAGACAGTAAATTTCAGCACCCTGTATTTCGGAAGCCACGCATTTTTCGACCCATGTTTATATAGATTTTATGCATTAATTTTAAAAGTTCTATCGAATCTTAAAGTTATGCAACAATCAACTGAAACACCCTGTATAAGAACTTGACAGACCGGATCAAGGAATACTACTATCCATGATTTGGCGACATCGCAACTATAAAGAAATTATGATAGCGATGGTGGTATAGTGATTGGAATATTTACCTGAAATAAAAGAAATCACTACTTAGCGATGATCTATTTTCATCATTAAAACAACGCAAAGTTGCATTATTGCAATGAATATTATCACAGTAATATACAGTGTATGTTGTATTCATATAATTTTGAGCAATTTACATCCTTATCCTTAATTTTAAAGGAAGAAACGAAATATTGACGATATGCGCTAAGGCCCGTATCGTCAGTCGTCCCTACAATTGTAGGGCGCCTTTATGGCCTCCTTGATTGTCATAGTTTTCTACTTCTCCGTGTCAGCGCTCTATTTTGAGGTTATGTCGCAAACATCTATTCGCATCAAATTGTGCTTGCTTTTGAGTTATATCATGTCTTATCAGCCTGAAATTTCGTACAATTTAAAAAGAAAGCATATCTTCACAATAGGAGAGCGCTGACGCTGACATGGGACAAGTGTAATCTAGAAATTTTTGAAGGAGAGAAAGGAGTATAACAATCAAGGAGGCCGTTATCGTGCCCTACAATTGTAGGGACGACTGAAGATACGGGTCTAAAGTATAGTTCAGCTCAACTTGGACTAGCATAAAAATTTTCTCACTAAAATGACCATGAAAATCTTAGCACTGCCGCACGTATCCTGAAAGGTGACATTTTGACGTTTTATAGGTTTTTTTTGACGAACTTTTTCTACAAGACGTCAACTTAGCACTAACTCTTGTACACTGGTATTGTGGCTGGATCATGACAGCGGCGCTATAGTCAAAAACCTTTATAAATTACCCTATTTTAGGTAGCCTACCTATGGAAGAAAGATTGCAGAATATGGCTGTGGAAAAATTGCGCCGAACTAAAATCAAACAAGTCGGTGGCCGAGAAGCTAAAGACGGGGATTACTGAGTTGAGGCAGTGCACGTTTTAAATGTTTTATATATACCATATATTTATTGTTTTTTCCATGAACATCACCGTATAACGAACTTATCTCAACCATTCCTGAAAATCGACTATTTGATGAACATGCGCCTTCCATAAAGATTACCCCAATTCTTACTGAACTTAGTAGTATATTTAAATTTTATCATCCCTTTCCGGGTCTTAAAAATCATACAGAATGATGGGTTTACCTCTTAAACAGTTTAACTTAGGTAGTTTATAAAGGCGATCCTATTAGGATAATTCAACCCTTTATTCTGATACCCCACTCAGGTATATTCGCTTACTTTTAGTTGCTCACCTGCTCACCCACCCGTCATAACTGAGCATTTCCTTTATAATGAAGCAGCTGCGCGGCAGAAGCCTGAATGCCAGGGCACCACGGCTGCTGTGAGGAGCTTGAAGAAACTTTGTTTATGCGATCTTTGAACTGCCTAAGGCCAAAGTTCGACACGGTTACGAAGGGAGGTCTAAGTTAGGTAGAAGTACCAGCAGCAGTAGTACGAGGGATATCTTTTAAGTTTTGCATATGGAAATAAAACAACACGGTAGGTTGTTTTCAACGACTTTATTGTTTTTCAAATCCACGAAGATTAATACACATCTGCATGCGCTCGAACCAATTTCCGAAGCACTTATTCCAATCGTTTGCTGGCAGATCCAAAACGGCATTTTTGAATGCGTCAACTGCTTCTTCTGCTGACTGGAGCCTTTGACCACGCAGTCTGTTTTTAATTTTCGGGAAAGTAAAGAAATCGCTAAGTATTGGGACTATATGGAGGGAGGTCCAATAATTTCACGTTTTCTTCCTTTAAATACTGCCTTGTTGTTTCGGCTGTGTGCGAGTTTGCATTGCCTTGGTGGAGGATGATTCTTCTTTCGGAGTTGATTTTTCGAAGCTCAGCTCGGTGATGACCTTTGGCAAACAGATGGTGGTATACCGATCCGCAGTAACAGTTCTTTGCTAATTAAGAGGTATTGTTGCAACATGACCCGCTTTTGACACAAATGTCGCGACCATCTTTTTCGAAACACTTCGAGAACGGATGACTTGTTGGCTTTTCTTCACCTTGGTACACCCAAACAGCTGACTGTCGTTTATTTTCTGGATCATAACAGTAAATCCACGATTCATCACCACCAGCAATGCTGTACACATTTTTTGAGCTTCCGGAATTGTAAGGGTCAAGCGTTTTTTGACATCAACTAACCCTGACTGCTTTCTGCTCTTCAGTTAACAGGTGGGGTATCCAACGAGAAACTAATTTTCTTACTCCTAATTCTTCATGTAAAATTTTTTGAATTGAGGTCTTTGAGATCTTCAAGGACGCCCCAATCTCGCGATGTGTCACATGTCTATCTTCAATGATGAGTTTGCGCACAGCATTGACGTTTTCCTGGGTGACTGCCGCTTTATTGCCGAAAACAGACAGTAACTCAGCAACGCATTCTTGTTGCGATGCTTGTCACTGAAGGTTGTAATAAATTATGTCGTGAAAATGTTCACGGTTGAGTTCCATTTTTCTAATGACTTGGTGACACTTAAAAATACACTGTAGCGAGAAAACTGCACGTATTGTTGTGAAACTTTGAATTTAGGTTTACTAAAGAGTGAGGTTAAGATTCAGTACTGACGTTCGATACGCGCGGCCTATTACACTGATCAACAGCCAAAAAATAGCCTAAATAAAATCAACAAAATATTACTATTTTTAATGTGCTAAAACCGGAATGAAACTTATTTTTTCAATATTAGTTCAAGTTTTAGAGATACGGTAATTATATGTGTTCCTGCTGTGACAGTGTTAGTATACTGTAATTAACAAGAATGCACGTGCTACATTTTTATATTCGGCAAGGAAATATGATGTAATCGGCATGATTGTGTTACGTTATACATACGTGTACATTATATTGTTTTATATTATCCATTTTTTCCTCAGTTGGCTGACAGCGTTCATGCAAGATGCCTCTAAAGTGTGTAAACAATCCAGATCAGTTTTGTTACGTGTGTGATGATGTGACTTTTGCGTCTCAGAGACGGTCTATTACTCCACTAATAACAAAGGCATATCAGCTCTATTTCGGTTGTAAACTAGGTGATCAAGACAAATAGTGGGCACCCCACATCTGCTGTAATACATGTGCTTCAAGTCTGAGGAGCTGGTTAAATGGCAAAAAATGGACTATGCGCTTTGCTGTCCCAATGGTTTGGAGAGAGCCTACAAATCATATTAATGATTGTTACTTTTGCATGGTACCTTGTGTTGGACAAGCCACAGGTATGTCCAAGAAAACAAAAATCGGTTATTAACTACCCAAACATACCATCTGCGATGAGACCTGTGCCTCACAGTGACGAAAATCCTATTCCAAAACCCCCAGAATCTTACACTTGCGAATCAGAAAACGAATCAGATCATGGCGATCGAGTGATTCGTCAGGAAGAAGATATGCCATCAACGTCAAGAGATCCTGATTTTATACCGAGCACGTCATGCCACCAACCGCACAAAATAACACAGTCGGAATTAAATGATCTTGTAGGAGATTTAGAACTTCCAAAATGTAAGGCAGAGTTACTTGGATCAAGACTGCAGCAGTGGAACTTGTTAGAAGATGATGTTTCGGTATGTGTTTTTCGTAAACGCCACAAAGACTTAGAAACATTTTTCAATATGGAGAATAACTTGGTTTTCTGCAGTAACATTAACGGCTTACTGGCTGCTTTAAATATAAACTATAACCCAGAAGAATGGAGATTGTTTATAGACAGTTCAACATTGAGTTTAAAGGCAATGTTATTGCATATTGGAAATATTTTACCATCTCTTCCTGTAGGGTATGCAGTTCACATGAGAGAATCATATGACAATATGAAGTACCTATTGACATGCATAAAATACGATGAGCACCAATGGCATATTTGTGGCGATTTGAAAGTTGTTGCACTTTTACTTGGGCTGCAGCTAGGCTACAACAAAGTTTTGCTGTTTTTTGAGTGAATGGGACAGTCGGGCAAAGGCACTTCATTACACCAGACAAAACTGGCCTGTTCGTCAATTCCTAGAGCCAGGTCAACAAAATGTATAGTATATGCCATTAGTAGATTCGAAAAAAATTTTATTACCACCACTGCATATCAAGTTGGGCCGAATGAAAAACTTTGTCACGGCATTAGATAGAGATGGGTCAGCTTTTCAATACCTGCGTCAGAAATTTCCAAGACTAAGTGAGGCAAAGTTTAAAGAAGGTATTTTTGTTGGGCCACAGATTCGAAATATTTTGAAAGATACACAGTTTGAAAACACTTTAACAGGTATTGAAAAAACTGCTTGGAATGATTTCCGTCTGGTGGTCACTAATTTATTGGGAAATAGAAAAGCTGACAACTATAAAACCCTTGTCAAAAATATGCTGTCATTGTATCAAAAGATGGGCTGCAATATGTCTCTTAAGATACATTTCCTACATTCACACCTGGACTTTTTTCCTGGCAATTGCGGAGCCGTAAGTGATGAGCATGGCGAATGTTTTCATCAGGATATTTCAACAATGGAAAAAAGGTACCAGGGAAAGTGGAATCCTTCCATGCTTGCAGACTACTGTTGGACTCTTGGTTGAGATGCTCCAGAAACGATCCATAAAAGAACAGCAAAAAGACAGCGCATATAGTGATTCTTATAAGTATATGAATCTTTTTACTTTTTTTAATATATCCTTAAAAATAAAAAGTTTTTTTTCTAAACCGCAAATAATTTTTTTATTTCATTGTCATTTTTGGATTCAGCGCCCCAAAATTAACAAAGAAGTGCACTTTTCCCACAAGATACAATTAAAAAACTAAAATTTGTTGTCCAGTGTTATGTTTCTATATGCAAAACTTAAAAGACATCCCTCGTAGTAAGTCTAAAGACGCTAAAGGACGGAATGAAGTAAGCTCCGGTGCAGGTCCCTTCAATACAACGGTAGGTTGTAGGTAGGTCTTACGGTCTTATGCCTGGGTTATAAGGTTACTTGCTGCACAGTATAGGAAATTCTTTAAACTGATAATATTTGGGCATGAGATCTTGACAAGCATCTTAGCAGGCAGCAGCGGTGGCCGCAGGTAGTAGACTCTTCGGTCTCCTGATCAGTCGCCGTGTGCTGTGCGGGTTCGAGTCCCCTCCCAGGAGAAATTTTTCTCTTGGCTATGGATGTTGTGATAGTCCGTGGGTGGTAGACGGTCTCTGACTGTCGAACGTGGAGGTACCACCCGGCGGATCTCGTAGACGGAGCCAGAATGTGTGCATGTTGCATGCACACGTATTCCCTGGCCAGAGTCCGTGTGGCGTTCCCCCTTTCCCCTGTATCCCCCTATAGCCCCACGGTACCCGATGGGTGTTTAGGCCTTAGGCCTTCGTGGTAGTTGGAGTATAAAAAAAAAGCTTAGGTAGGTTACAATCGTTCCATCCATGCACGGTGGAGGTGGAAGGCTACTCTTTAATAAGTTATCTTCAATCAGCATCCAGGAGCACCGACTGTCATTGCGACTTCACCATGGGCCTAATTTTTTACGCTACGCGGAGGAAGAAAGTAGGGCTTGTCGCCAGCCGGATCCATTCTTGCATAATAGCGAAAACATCATCAGCACAACCCGCGGCATCGGTCTTGTTTGAGCCCAACTAAGCCGATTTCTATCAAATATTGCTAAGGGACATGTCGACAGGCAGGACTTCTGATAGAAAGCCGCTCTCAAGACGGTTCATCCGTTTGGGAGCTTCTGTTCTTAGGGTTAAGTATCATACAGGAAGGTTGGTCTAACTTGACCTATTTTCGTAAGTAATATCATGAGGGCATCAAATTTTATCGAAAAAAAAAAACGAAAAAACACGTAGCTAAGTAATATTTTAACAAGAGGCATGAGTGCTGGTGGTAGCAAAAAAAGATGCACGAATGGTATTTGATGAGACTACTTCATGAGTAAAAAATTATTCATAAAATACATCTATTCCACATTATCTTCACAACAAGTTCTTTGTGATTTTCAGAGTTTTCTTGCTTCATGTTCCATGTCCAATCTTTCAGGATTGGCTCAGTTGCTCTAAACTTCAAAAAGCTCGTATTCCTTTGCCTTGCAGAA